GCATTAAGGAACTAGAGGAATGTTGTGTGTTTTGTTGGTGCTATGCTGCACCCTGGCTGGCTTGTCCCTTCCTTGTGACCCTTCTGTGAGGGGATATCCAATTGTCTACAGATTGGCTTTGGGTGTGCTTTCCGACCCCTCTGGTTTGCATCAAAATGGTTGTTTTTTGGGGGGTCTTCTGATGCTTTATGCCTGATCCTGTTGAGACCTCATAATCACATGAGTTGGTGTGGGCTTCATTGCTTCCCTGCTAGATGGCTGCTCATTTAACTTCAAGCCTATAAGACCCCAGATGCTATATCTTATAGTAGCCGGGCACCATCACTTTCTTCACCACAATAGCTTATAAACCCATTTTATAAGCTGGGGTCGGAAAGGTGAGCATCACAGAATGCCAGGTTATTAGAACAAAGTGTTCTTGTGTTGAGGAAGGACTCGAGTAGAGGCCCAATCCATCTGTTGCACTCCCTTCTTTCACCCTGGTGTGGGGGCTAGTCAGACAGGGCACAATTTCCGCACCGTGTCTCTGGTGTTGCTCCCTGTAGCACTGCGGGTCAGTAAGGGGATGTCGTGTCTCGTGGTGAGGCAGACCCTGTGGTCCTCTCTGTGCACTGACATTCTCAAAGCTTGGTGGGCCAGGATGCCGTTCTCTCTCTCTCTCTCTCTCTCTCTCTAGGTCTCTCTCCTTCTCAGTTTGCTCTCATGAGCTCTGAGGTCTGGCAGACCTGCCTCTCTCCCAGGGCTGTAACTTCATTCTTCTGGGGAGGGGGAGGGGATCGATGTAGCTGGGATAGAGAAGCCAGCTCAGCAGACTTGTCTGTTAGTTCTCTGCTTTGAGCTGGTATGTTGCCCACAAGGCTTGGGGCACCAGGTTGAGGTCTGGTCCCTCTCTCCCTTGCCTGAATCCCCCACTAGGTCTCCTATTTGGTGAATTCAGTGATCACTATGGAAGCTGCTCTCCATGCAAGCTGCTTACCTGGGTGCCACCTTGCTAGAAGTCCTCTGTCGATTCTATTTCTAAATGAATGTTTGAGTCTTTTTAGGATCTAGCTATACAGAAATTTTAAGAGGATAAATATAAAGATTAATTGCCAACATCCAGCTATGAAAATTTGATCAAGATTGCAAGAACAAGTTGAGACAGAGTTATTTGCAAGCGAGGGGTTCAAGTAATAGAGAAGCATAACTTATAGTCATATTTTTAAGGCTCTACCATATAGGAGTCTTATTTATATCTTTATGCATTTTAATGCCTGTTGATGTGCTGGAATTGATATTATCAAATCTATTTCTACTAAATTGGTTTCCTAAAATAAAGATATACTATAGATGTTCAAGAGAACATTTTCTTTTGTTGTTAAAATTACTTTTTGCTATTTTACTCCTTCATAGTAAGACATTATTTGATTTCAGAGATACAACAAGGGAAGAAAGTTACAAAAAATGTACAAGCAACATCTCCCACATGTCCACCACATAGCAAAATGTCAGCTAAATCAGAGTTTCATTGTAGGAAATTGTATGCGTAAGCACTGACTTCAGTATTGGTCATGGAGAAAAACACAAAACAGCCTCTACCATTTAAATTCGGTTTAACTATTTAAAGCTACATGTTATAACTCAATTTCTGAATTAAAAAAATGGTGCTAATGGTAACAGCAAATGAATGGCTTTTTGTTAATGTCATTCCAGATACCCATTTCTATTACCTTTAATGGATACAGAGTACGTGACTCAAACCACTGTAAATGCTATTTTAGAGGAAGATTTTTATACACTAATTCCCAAGTTTTTGTATGTTGCTCTGACCCCTAAATTGTAAGTAAATAATCAACGACTTACTTCTATTCCTTTGCTTAATACCGTATATAAGTCGACTTTTCCAGCACACTTTTAATGCAGTTTTTCTAATAAAATTAGGTCCCTAAGCTGATATTTGGGTCATCTTATACTTGAGTATATACGGTAAATAAAATACCTAATCAATGCTACCTCTTTTGCCTAAAAAGAAGCTTTTTTTAAAAAACTTGCATTCTTAAAGGCCTAAGCAAATATTTTATATTTTCAGCGTCTGAAGTAAGCAAAGCACAACTTGCAATGATCCAATAAATTGTCTTCGCACTATTAACATATCATTTTCAGTGCTTGTTTAGGCCTTTCAGAGTACAGTGAACCCTCGCCACTTCGCGCTTCGACTTCCGCGGCTTCACTCTATCGCGGTTTTTGCGTAACAGCGCATGC